TGTTTTCAGCACACCAAAATACATGGAAATTAGATGAAAATAATCAAACAGCTTTTTAGTCGCAGACCTGTGTAATGAGAAACGAAAACAGAATTTTAGAAATGTCCTCAAATGTATAAAAAACTGAAATAAGACATTGGCATAAGTATCCAGACCATACCGTTCAGTCAGTTTCTTTGTTGAAGGAACTTTGGTGGCAGTTACAGCCTCGAATCTTTTGGTGTATGTCGCAACAAGCTTTGCACATCTGGGTCGGGGGATTTTCTGCCCTTCTTCCTTGCAAATCCTCTCCAGCTCAGTCAGGACAGATGGCAACCATTGGTGGAGAGGCATTTTGATGTCCTTCCAGATGTGCTCAATAGGGGTCAAGTCAGGGCTCTGCTTGGGCCATTCTAGGACATTCAAAGAGTTGCCCCAGCCCCCCAGTACTTTGCAGTTCTCCCAAACACTCTGCGCGTCCAGTTTTGCTAAAAACGGGATCCACAGGGTGGGGTTTCAGGAGGCCAAAAGTGCTGTATTCAATGTATAACATGCACCCAGGTGTTCACCCCACTTTTTTTAAGGGAAAAAGATGCGTCTTTTACTCTGAAAAATACAGTATATTCGCAGAACAAACAAAGAAACTCAATACAAGTACCTAATGTCTGTGAATATACTGTATGTATGTGTATGCATATGTGTGTTTGAACGTATGAAAAAGACAATGTGAGAAAAGCAAAAAAAAATCCATCCCAAAAAGATAGTAAAAGAAAGAAACATCTTCATTCCATCCCTCACCGCATTTTCTGCTCTTCAAATCTTCAGTTCTTCAGATTAATCTTCAGATTAACAAAGGCCCTGTAAGGATGAACCAAAATACCCCAAATAACAGGATGCCTTGACTGTAAGAACTTATGACCAGAAATCCATTCCCACTTGTGGTCATAAATCAAAGACTTCCTGTATCTGCAAAATATTATATATAATCCCACACACACACATCTTTTGAGTAATAAATCGGATAAGTCACTAATGCTGCTTTGTGAACAAGTATAGTCTGAAATGTAACATCACAAAGAGTGTATATCTTCTGTACTGTTTAAGTTTGGTGCAAGGAGGAAAATTGCTGGGAAGGAGAGGCAGATCCCCCGCCCCCCGTTTTCCTTCCGAAAAGCTTATACTTTGGAGCGTCTTATACTCCAAAAAATACAGTAGGTTTATCTCGGCTATGGATTTTCTGATGGAGGCTTAACTTTGATTTGCAATGGAATGGTTTCTCACACTCGGCACACTTGTAAGGCCACACTCCTGTGTGATGTCTGGTGTGCATGCGAAGTAATGAAAGTTGGGTAAAACATTTCCCACACTCCAGACATTTAAATGGTTTTTCACCAGTATGGAGTCGCTGATGCTTCACAAGAGTATCTCTCCGAGCAAAACACCGACCACACTGTAAGCATTTATACGGCTTCTCTCCTGTATGGATTCGGCTGTGACTTCTAAGGGAAGATGAGTGAGCATATACTTTCCCACAGTCTAAACATTTGTAGTTTTTTTCCCCCGTGTGAGTTTTCACATGACGACTAAGGATTGATGCGGTACGATAGGATTGTCCACATTCATTGCATTGATGCGGTTTCTCCCCTGTGTGGATTTTATGATGTATCCAAAGTCCTTCCTTATGAGCAAAGCATTTTCCACATTCTACACAGCTGTATGGCGTCTCTCCTGTGTGGACCCTCTGATGCTTTCCAAGGTGGTGTTTTCGGGAGAAGCATTGCCCACATTCTGCACATTTGTAGGGTTTCTCCCCTGTGTGGCTTCTCTGATGAATTTGAACCTCACGTTGTGCACGAAAGCCTTTCCCACACTCCCCACATGTGTAAGGTAACTTTTCTTTGTGCCATTCCTGGTGTTTCTGAAGATTGTAAGAATGCACAAATCGTTTCTCACATTCTGGGCATTCATAGGGTTTCTCTCCCCTGTGACGTCTCTGATGTTGCACCAGGCTTCCTTTCAAGGTAAAACATTTCCCACATTCGAGGCACTTTTCATTTTTCTCCCCTGTGTGTTTTTTCCAATGATTCCGAAGACCTGAACTCTGGGTGAAACATTTTCCACACTCAAAGCATTTGTAAGACTTTACTCCTGCATGGATCTTCTCATGGATCGAAAGATTTTGCTTATGAGAATAGCTCTTCCCACATTCCCAACACTTGTAAGGCTTCTCCCCTGTGTGGATTCTCTCGTGGATTCTCAGAGAGGATTTTTCACGGAAACATTTCCCACATTCCAGACATTGATAAGGTTTCTCTCCAGTGTGGATTTTCTGATGTCTAAGGAGGTATGACTTTTGACTAAAGCATATGTCACATTCCTCACATTTATGGGGTTTTAGTGTTGGGGGGCTTCTGAGGTCTTTGGCGTCTTTTCCAGAGAAAGATTTCTCACCCTCCAAACCTTGACTGGATCCACTTCTGACATGGACCTTCCTGTGGGTCAAAAGGAGGGCCCTGCGACCAAAGGATTTCTCACACTCTGAACATTCATGAAGTTTTTTGTGGTTTTTCGGAGTGCTGATTGTGTCTGATGGGGGATCCATCACTTCTGGCAGCTGCTGCCTTGGGCTGATCTTCTACTCTCTGTTGATAGTTGGTTTGCAGATAAATCTTTGGAGACAGTTGCTTTCCTGCTGGTGGAAGAGAAAAGAAGAGAGATTGAGATTGATGGTCATCTTAGCTTTGGAAGGGCCGTCTGGTTTAGGCATTTATGGAAGGCGGCCTCCTGGCCATCAGCTTTTTCTGATACCTGATAACAGGACCAGCCTCAAAACATCCATAAAACCTGTCCATTGTAAAACATCCAACAACAAAGGACTGCCACATCACAATCCCATCAGGGAAAACGAGGAAAATATGGATTTTTAAAGATTCTGCCCAACTTTTCAAGAAGAACCAAACTAAACACTAGCATAAGAAAAAAGATTATTCAGTCCTATCATTTTCGGATTCATTGGAAGGAAAAAGGATCTGACGTGATATCACTGTTCCAATACTGGAGGGGCTGCCACAAAGAAAAGAGGGACACAACTTATTCTTCAAAGCAACTGAAGGCAGGACAAGAAGCCGTGGATGGAAATTAGGGAGAAATTGCCTGAAAGCGAGAACAATTAACCAGGGGAAGAGGTTGCCTCCAGAAGATCTGGGTGCTTCATCACTGGAGGTTTAGAATAGTGAAGAAGAAGAAATTGGAGAAGGGCTTGCCTGAAATGTTAGGGGTTTTCCTGCCTGAGCACAGAGTTGGGCTGGAAGTCCTCCAAGGTCCCTTCCAACTCTATTATTTTGTTATTCTCTTATTTAGATAGATTTAGATAAATTTATTTATAGGCCGCCCTTTTCCCTGANTAAGCTGTCTAGAACAACAATAAAGCAGTCTTTAAAAAATAAAGGTAATAATTTGAACATTCCATAGGCATTTATAGTTATTGATTTACCTCCTTGCAGCAAACAGCCTGTTTCAGTTTAGCCTGATTAGGAGGGAAAAAAATCTGCCTCTGCCTCTCAGCAATTTGCCTCCTTGCAGCAAACAGCAAGTTTCAATTTCAGTTTAAGCATGCTCCCATTCATCAGCTGTTTCAGGCTGCAGGGATTGCCATAGCCTTTGGTGGCCTCCGCAAACCCCATTTTCTCCATTTGCTGTAAGGAGGTAAATTGCCCCCGTTGGGTGGGGGCTACATTTGGAGGCCATTGGGTGAGTGGGGCTACATTTGGTGTATAAGAGGCACACAATTTTTCACCCTCTTTTAGGGGGGAGGGGGTACGTCTTATACTCTGAAAAATATGGTATTTAGTTGTGGAAAATGTGAAAACTTGTTGTTTTTTTTAATTCACCAGAAGCCTCACACAATGACAGAAGGCAAATCCTAAAAAGTTTTGATGTGGGGAAAATCTTTTTTTCTACTGAAGGAAACTCAAATTTTTGACTTATGACCAGAATTAAGAAGAGAACTAAAGATTTAGAAAGGATAAAAGGTGGTGAGGGATGGAATGAAGATGCATCTGGTAGGTTATTTAGAGATAAAGTGTTGATGTAGCTGAGGGTGAAGAGGCAAAGTTTATTTTTCTTACTATCTTTTTTGGAATGATGTTTTTTGCTTTTTTCACATTGTCCTCCATAGGCTGAAACATAGGTTGAAAATGAAATTCAATGGTGAAAAATGAAATTCAATGATGAAAAGAGTAAGGTTCTACCTTTAGGCAAGAAAAACGGAATGCACAGGTACTGGTAGTACCTTGCTCAATAGTACTATAGTAACTGAGAGAGGGATCTTGGAGACCTAGTGGACAATCATTTAAATAGGAGCCAGCAGTGTGCAGCAGCTGCCAAAAAAGCCAACACAGTTCTAGGCTGCATAAACAGAGGGATAGAATCAAGATCAGATGAAGTGTTTATGCCACTTTATAAGGCCTTGCTAAGGCTACACTTGGAATATTGCATCCAGTTTTGGTC